TCAATATTTCAAATTGGCAGTATTTAAAAAGAGCCGTTACAATATTTCTTTCTTTCCAAACTACAAATAATAGGCAAAATTGCTAGAATACGCAGCAAAATTTCGAAAGATTCCGAGTTTTCTTTAATACTGAGAGCTTAGCCCATTCAATATGTATCAGTGTTGATCCGAGATCTGTCGTTTCTGCACCTTGTCCTGTAGTTCTTCTCTGCTACGCTATCAGGGCGATGTCGTCAGCGTAGAGGATGGTCTTTAGTGGTCCTTCCATGAGCCCCTTCACCAGGACATCTAGTGTTAGGAGGAAGAGGAACGGGCTCAGAGCTGACCCTTGGTGCACCCCAACCGTGATGTCCACCTCCTTCGTTAGGCCGTGTGGGGTGCGTATAGCTGCCTTAGCCCCATCGTACATGTCCTTCACCAGAGAGATTAAAGCAACAGTCCCAGCAGGGTGAATATCGGTCGAGGAAATCCTCGACAGGGGGGTCGTACCTGTCGGGCTGGTCCATGGGGGGTCGTACTCTTGGGGTCAGTAACAGCAGTGGTATCGTGGTGCAGATAGGTAAGAGGGTATAGCGCAGCAGAAAATGAAAATATCTGAAAAAAAACATGATATTAAATTTTCTTTGCAGGTTCAGTCGCTCCATTCCTCCACCTTCATGAGAAGGGCGTATTTGAAGGCAGTACAAAGAATGAAAGTGCATCCCCGCAAAGAAGACTGCCACATGTGCGCACGCGCTGCAAAGGCACCTCCTCTGCCTATCGCTCGCTCCTTCTCCCTTAATACCTCGCTGAGAATGACACTGTTGTTAGGGACCCTGTCGCAAAAACGACAACCGTGAAGGAAAAGCGCTGGGCAAATGAAGTTGTTCTTTAGGTTGTAAGGAGTTACGAAATGCGTTTACTGCCAGCTTCTGTCAAACTGGTCATGATCATATGACACCTTCGAATCGATTCTGCCACTTCGAGTGAGTCGGTGCATAGCCGTATACTAGACAAAATTCGTAATGGGACGCGCCTTCATTCTCCTACTTGCTCATAGTTGAGGGGATGTTTTCTAGACCGTTCCAAGCGTTTGACCAACCATCACACTTGCAGGGGAGGAGCGGACGGCGATTTTCAGGTTGGCCGCATGTTCGTTACATACTCGACGCAGATATCTTCTCAACTAGGGGAATGTAGAAGAAAGCTAAGAAGACCATCAGAAAGCGCAAACCTTCCGCTTTCCAAAACTATCTTCACTTTTTCAGGATCTCACGTTTTAAGAGAGATATTGCTCTTGAAGTGGCAAAAACTCGCGTGAAAATTTCAGCGTCCTCGACGTTTACTCGACGAAATTTGAGAGACCCTATCTTTCTGCATGGAAGACTTTCAGAGCAATTTCAATACTTCTTGGAAACGCGAAATCCAGCTCTATCTAACCCTACCTCAAACTGCTTCAAAGGTTATGAAATGGAGGAATGCAACCTTTTCATCGAGGGTGTAGATTTCGACGGTTTTTTTCGGGATTTCAGCAAATCTGACCCAGTGACAATCGCGCCGCAGCTGCCGTTGAATCGGCCGTTGATTGATACACTCGGCTGTTTCGATATACTCAAGCAGGAATTAAGATTAAATCGCAACCCCGTGCCTTCAGGATTTCTGTGCATTTCTGAACGAACCTGACTTTGAGGTCACACAAAGTTAATGCCTCTTTCCTCGAGTCGATATTTCAGTAAATACACAAAAGTGTGCAGCGATGAAAGACAGTGCATAGATGACAAGATGAGGCGTCCATAACATTATTTTGCAGGATTTTTTTTTTAATTAATTAATTGAATTAATTTGCTCTGTTTTAGGGGGTCGTGCCAGGATCTCGATTTCGGGGGGGGGGGGGGTCGTACTTCTGCGACCACGTACTCGACACGATTTTCACCCTGGTCCAGCAAGGTTCTGCTTCTTTCAATACTAATGGCACTAAAGGATGCACAGGCCCTATTGGAGAACATCTAAAGTGTAGTTATAAAGAAAACCCACCTGGGAAAGAACCTAAAAAGGGCGTTAAACTCCTCCAAAGATGGGTGTGGTTGAGAGATTTCTTCGGGACCGCCCACTTGCCAGCCGTGATTGGCTACGGAGGCATTCGTGCTCGTTTTGGGACCACAGGGAGTATTTGAACTGTCCTTTAAAGTAATCAATGTGATCCTGCCTGTTGCACTGGAATTGTTTCTTTTTTTGTTGTTGTGATGTTGTTATGTTATGTATAGTGTTATGTAATTATGTTAGTGTTATGCAACTGGAGCGCATTTAGTGCGGGCAAGTTCAGACAACTCGTCCAACGCGCGTCTTCCCACATCGCTAAGCGGCAGAAGGGGAGTCCCTGTTTAAAGCCCTGTTCGGCGTTTTTCTTTGGTTTTTTCGTCACTGTCGGTCAAATTGTCGCCTATAACTACATTATCAACGGTATTTACCCCGCAAATTCGTCTCTGGGATTGTTGCTTTAAGTGATCGGAATATTCCTCTCGCTAAGCGCCTTCCAGAGCTTCGGTCGCGGTAGACGGTTGAACGCTTTTTCCAGATCGAGGAAGGCTAGGTAGCAGGGTCAGCATACAGTAGCGGTCAAAAGTGTTCGCCGAAACGGTTTTTCGTGCTTCTCTTTTTTGCCAGAAAAAATCAATGGTGACCTCGAAATTTTTTCTTTTGAATATCCTGATTCTTTAAACTTGAGGATATAAAAACACTAGAAACATAGTATATCAATCTTTGGAGGGCGTTGCTCAAGCGAGAAAAAATAATGCACTGAAAATCGTTTCGGCGAACACTTTTGACCGCTACTGTATGTTTCGATACTTCTCGATCATACGCGTGGCGATGAAGATGGCATCCGTTGTAGACCTTTCGGGCATGAACCCGAACTGTTCCTGGGAGATCGGGACCAGCTCCCGCAGTTTCGAGTCGACCAGTCGCTCGTACAGCTTCATGGTATGCGCAGTCAACTTGATCCCGCGGTAGTTGGAGCAGTCCATCGCGTCACCCTTCTGCTTGAAGATGGGGACGATGGTACTTGTTCTCCAGGCATCCGGCATTCCTTCCGCAGTTACCTTGTTCAGGAAGCTGGTGAGCCACCTTATGCCGTACTCTCCGAGCGCCTTCCATGCCTCGATTGGCACCCCATCTGGCCAACCGCCTTTCCAACCTTCACCTTTCCTACTTCTTGACGAACCTCTTCGTTCTTCTTTCGGTTTTCTGTCCACAGCGAGATGGGGCCAGTCGTTGCCGCATATCGAGTGTCCTTGTTAAAGGAATCCTCCACGGAAAAAGCTCCGCCCTCATTACCACAGAAAACGATACCTTAAAGGAATCTTCCACGGAAAGAGTGATCATTTTGTCTTGTGTGTAGGATTAGTATTATCGAAACTAACGCTTATGTTCTTTTTGCTATGCTCATGAGGCTAGGGGCCTAAGGTATCGTTTTTCTGTGGTAATGGAGGCGGAGCTTTTTCCGTGGAAGATTCCTTTAAGTAACTCCCGGCTCAGAAGCGCACTGTAGTATTCTTGATTAAGATTATTATTGAGATTTATTGATTGAGATGATTGAACTCGCAGCTTTCAGAGGCGCAGAAATGAGCCTAAATTTTTAACCACTCTGCTGTCCTTCCCTTGTATACGTGCAAACTAAGCCTCTCTAAATAGTTGACTTGCTGTAAAGATGGTGCGGCTCTCCTGCACAACTTGAAAAGAGGCCCCATCCCATGTGCTATGGCGTGGTCTCCTCGCAAAATAGACTGTTAGTGTTGCTGTTGTAGGTAGAGGCGCAAAATATCAACCAAGTAATCTTATAGAGGGGCTGGACTCTGGGTCAGTCAAGCATATAACTGAAAACTCAATCTAGGATGGATTAGGGTTTGATTGGACCCACTCCTCGCCATGTTGCCAACACTGCGCATCACACCCCAACTGAGAACTCCTAATACTGAAACTAAATATAGTGACGTATATTCGTTTTCTTTTTTATTGCGCTATGATCTTTATGCCTTATTATATTAGGTTGTCGGAAAAGTCTTTGCGCATTTGGCAACTTTTTTCAAAATTGTTTTTCTTCTTTAGTGCAGCCAACAATTGCTGAATACATACACCACCATAATCGTCGAAACATTGCTCTTCAGCAGGCAACTTCAGGTTGCCGGCCCTTCAGAAATCCCGAGTCTTTGGGGCGAAAAGCTCAAAGAGGTTGACTCCGAGTAGGTCCGGATCATCGAACTGCCCCTATTTCAGTACCTTCGACGGCAACAGAAGCGTATGGTAGCCTGTCTCTACCAGGTTTGCTGTACACACTAAGTGGGTCAGATCATTCTATAACGAGCTTGGAGACCTTTCCTGAACCTTCTTCGTAATTCGTGGGCGAGCGTTGCCGACATAAAGTAAAGTTTCTCCGATTTTCCGGGCACCATGCCGGGAAACCAATCCACTTGCTAACATTGTTCACCAATAGCAGTGGACTTCGTTGGCAGCAGCTCTCCGTGAGCGAAACATTTGCAGCCTCATGAGCTTTCAATGTTGCCTCCCAAGTTGCAGTTCTCAAATCGGCATTGTATTCCTTTGTTTTACGCATCCATGCCAGCTTCCTTATTACTAGGTCCTTATTTTGAATATTCTAGAAGGTTCCTCCTCTTGGTTGCCTTTTTAGGCGCTTTTAGGCACCTTTCTTATTCGAATAGTGTAACAGCACTTTACGATTGTTGAATGCTCCTCAAATACAATAATCGAAATTCGTGGAGGCCTCAAGAAATCAGGATTTTTTGACACCTATCGTTGTCAATCGTTGTTGCTCTACGGCAGCCATCCATCAGTGGCAATCTCATTCATTCCAGTGATCACACCACTATGTCACTTGTTCAGCGACCCTTAAGAAAATCCCAATTTTCTCAACAATCGAATGGTTTTTGCCTGAAGGAACCATGTTGGCCGTCTTTCTATAAGATCTGAATTACTTTTAGCAAAAATTGTTTTATCAAAGTGTTTAGGCAAATAGCGATATACGACAACAAGGAAAACCAACCACTTCGGATGAAACGTTGAATGCCATCAACGAGAGTGTAAGTTTCCAATGTTTCTACATGTGTCCTGGGAAGTCTATTTGAACACCCGCACATAAAACCGTCAGAGAAATGAGGCTTGGAGAGAGGGCGAGATAGAGACAGAGACGAAGGGAGTGTGTTTGGGTCATCGAAACAGAATCTATGAGACAGAGAGAGAGAAAGGAAATGAAGACGATCACGTGCTGGTGTTCCTACTTTGAAGTGTAGTACGAAAGGCTCACCACGCGGTAAAGAGTAGAGGGGCAGGAACCGTTTTGGTCAATTTTGCGGTACTATAACTTGAAGTCAATCAAGATGTGGTAGTTCACCCTCTGCTTCCAGAAACCACATACACACCGAGTGCAGACCACATCACAAGTCACATCATCACACATCATTTACCAACTATCAGCTATCGCTATGAAACACTAGTTACCAGATTTACTTGGAAGCCGTCGTCACTTGTAGTGTGTGGTCTGTACTCGACGCGCATCCATTTTTCGGGAACAGAGGGTAAATACCGTTTATTATCCAACACAGTTTATTTTATGGCGTGGTTTCAGAAACTCCAAATTTGGCCAAATAAGTTTTTTGGTTTGGTTTAGAGGAGTTTCTCACATACCACGAATCATGACTTTCATTGAAAAGAAATACGCAACTAGAGAAATGACTCTTCAAGTCTGACTGAGCTGTGGACAGCACCCGACATTACTCGCCACGTTTGTCGAACGGAAGCCTCCTACTCTACACCCCTCTTTTTTCGGTACAGTTCTAAAGCGCTTGACCGAAGGTAAGTTCGGCGTGGCGTTTGTCCAATATTTACAATATAATGACGTGTTGAAAAGCTGTCCAGCGCACGGAAGCGGCGAGGGGAAATTTTCCGTTGCCACTTGTTTCCAGAAGAGCGTCCCATCATTTCATGTGTGGCTTCGTGAAATAATCTCCCACGAATCATTACTTATAGGATTTAAAATCCGTGAGCGTAGGCGATTGCCTACGATTTGATGTGGTCCGTCGCGTGCCATGCGGCCAGCAATGGGTTGAGTGGGTCGAAATACACAGCATTGGGATTTTATGTCGAAAAAGTAATGGCCAAAAGTGGATTCTTTCCCAGCCAGAAACTAACACGTTGACGACATCGCGCGTTTTGGTTTTTGCACCGCGTGGGACCAGAGCGATTTTGCGAGCGCCGCCGCCGCACACCAAATCCATGGATTTTGAGCTGTAAATACGCAATACTTAGATGCGATGAAGTGTTTTCAATGTTCGATCTGTCTAACTTATCGGGAGTTACAGTAATGGAAGTTTGACCGAAATGACGTGTTAAGGCCATGAAAAGGCAAATTTTACTTATTTCCCTTTAGTGGTTCCAAAATTAATTTGGACGTGGTTGTTTCAGTAAAAACACATATCTTCCCATACGAATAGGTTTGTATTCACTTCTATTATTCCTTTTTATCAACATGTTACGTTAATGAAAAGAAAACGAGGAATGAACTGAACAGACATATCCGTAAGGTCTGGAAAACCTCTGCCAAACTAAAGAATATTTGGCCTTTCTGTGAGCCATGTGGTTTTTAAGTATGCTAATGTATGACCTATAGAATGAGTACAAAGACCTTAGGAATAAGTCGCACAAGCGCAAGAAAAAGGGATGACTTGGGTGGGACGCGTTACCGCGTCACAATGTCCCACGAGGTGCGCAAAGTGGGACGCGTTACCGCGTCACGCTGTCGTCAACGTGTTAAAGGCTTCCTGCAATTTGATGTGGTCCGTCGGCGGGCCATGCAGTCAGCAATGAGTTCAGTGGATCGAAATATATAGCATTGAGTTTTTACGTAAATAGTAATGGCCAAAGATGGATTCTTTCTCAGCCAGAAATTAAACCTAATATTGCAGGTTCTACCATGCCTGATTTCTTTATACAAGAATCTTCTCTTCAGTCGACGAGTAATAGCCATTTAGTTATCCCTTCTCCTGAGTGGTCAACAGCGAATTGGTTCACGGATCGATAACCTGAAAAAGGAGCAGGAGCTGAACAAGAACCATCTCGAAGAAGCCCTAAAAAGCGTGATCGTCCAGTTGAAAGCAGAATTGGCAGGAAAATCACAAGAGCAGTCAGAGAAATTGGAAAAGCTTAGACTGAAGGTAGGTGGCCAGAATAGGTTCCTGTAATGGAAGATTAAAGGCACGGGTCGGGACTGATTTGGTGTGCTACTTTGTTCGAAATTAGACAAGAAGTGCGATGGCGTTAGTGGGGAGAAAAAGCAAAAAGCGCCATAGAAAACACTGAAATTTCCCTTGTGAGGTCGGCCGTGGTATGACGGAGAGACACAGCGCTGCGAGGAGAGGGAAAACGCGAGAGAGCACGTCGTACGCGAGAGGGCGCAAACGCCACGTATGCCGCGATTGATAAGGATGGCAGCACGGCAGCACACAAGGCAAGGCCTTAGCGCCGTTGGCTCGCACTGACTGATGAAAGTGTCGCGCCTCCTGCGCTTGGTGACCCCTCCTGCCCACTTTAGGAGGTCGTTTTTCTCCTGATCTGATCCCGACATGTCGCATTAAGGATCGTGTAAAGTGAACAATACCAGGGAAAGGATAGAAGTCCCTAGTACTGGTTCAGAGTATAGGGGTCTTAAACTTTTGACCTCATACCGGCTAGTCGTCAAGGGCGCATTTGGCTATTGAATAGGTGTGTGTGATTGTGCTCGAAAATAAAATTTGTTAGAGTGTTCGGTCTACCAGTAATCGAGGAAAGCAAAGGAACGGCTAGGAACCCTAGAATGGTCGTACCGGAAACCGCAAGATCCTATCTTTCCCCAATAAATCAGTGGCTTGAGAACAAACCTTTCCGACTGAACGAGAAAATTGCTTTCGTTCCGGTAGGCGAACAGTTCGAATGAGTAAGAAATCTGTTACTCATTTGAATTAACACAACTAATCCATCACAAATAATGACGTCGGTGGTGCTTGAATTGCCTCTCGGGTTGTCATCACTGGTGAAATTTTTGATTCCCACCTATGGCAGAACATTCCACCTTTGGGTGTCCCCAAAGAGGCCCATCGCGGCGAAAGAAGAGACGCAGATGCGGCAAAGGACGAGTCGCAGCGCGTGCTGTGCGATATGAGACGTAGTATGGTACACTCTATTTAACCTGACGCCTAACCGCTACAGTATGCGCTGCGACTCGTCCTTTGCCGCGTCTGCGTCTCTTCCTTCGCCGCGCGACGGGCCTCTCGAGGGACACCCTACATTTTTCTATTGCATTCGAATTTACCGCGTTCGAACGCTTTTACTCTACTCTAGTGATCAAGAAAGAAACCAAAGTTTTACAGTTAGACATGAGAAAGGATACCACCTGTCCCACATGCTGTATTTGGTAATGCACATTTCTTATGGTAACGTGGTAAATTAGTCAATTACAGCAGGACCATCTCTACGAGGACTTCAATCTTCTCAATGATCGCCTTGATGAAATGGAAATGCTGGTGTCGAAGCTAATGCGAGAGACTGAGCCTACAGAAATCCTGCTTCGAGTGCCCGAGGTCCACAAACCAGCCACAATTGAAGAACTTTCTGACAATGGAGAATCATTGCACAGTGTTCTGTCCATCTCTTCGGGATCTGTTGCAGAAGGACCTGAAGGTGTTGTGAAGAAATCTCGAAAACCCTCGCAGGCGTTTATCTTCACACAACGTCCAGCGGAACGTGCTGTGAAGAAGGATGTTGAACAAGAGCATGTTGAAATTACCCACCTTTGAATTATTGATCAACTATTGCAATGTTTTGAAAAGGGTTTGTGCCGTTAGGTCAAAGCGCGGTGTGGCGTGCGTAACGCACTGCGCGAGTATTTGACAGATGACTCGGTCACATATGCCGCGCACAAGCGGTATCGATTGATCCAGCTTCGGGCTCCTACCTAACGACACACACACCCTCCATAAAACCGACTCAGTGTAACCATTTTTCAACTATTTGTGGTTTTGCTCAGTAGAATGATGTACTCATCTTGAACGATAATCGAAATGCATTTGTTGTTGAATTAAATGAACTTGTTGGTAATGGAGTAGCATTTATTATGTGATGCTAGAGGTGTCTGCCTACACATACGTACATTGCTATTTTAATATTCTTTGAAATGAGTGATGATAGGATTTCTAGGTAGATTGGCGTGGTTCGATGGTGGGGCCTTGGAGATCACGGACGAGATGATAAGGTAAGTAGGTAAATTTGAAGTTAATACATAATCTAATAGTTGTTAATAATTTGAAAAAGCATGATTCATACGGAATGGCTATTCAATGTGCACGATCCTCCATGATCCAAACCCCCTTTCCACTTCAACAGTATTAATTTATTTAATGTGACTTACATTTCGGCTTCTTCCACTCATAATCCTATTTTCATCCAGTTATGTCTGTCTCTGTCTCTTCTATCTGTTAAGTCTTGCTTATGCTTTCGCGTTGTAGTGAAATTCCGGGTAACTGGCAGAAGGCCCGTCGCGGCAAGAAGGCGGGAACGCAGACGGATCAGCGGCAGGGTCAAGCGTGCGTTGAGGAATCCTCGACATGTCACAGGGGGGGGTCGTATTGGCCCGCTGGGGAGAGATCGGGCCCGATTGATACAGTAGGATCATCGTCGGAGGACAAACATTAAGGATCGAATCGATACCAGGCCAGAGTATTTCCAATAACAATTGATTCCGTCCACACAAAATCTTCGTGATTTAGAGGTGTCCGCTTAGCAATTCTTAGTACTTCAGTGTTTATCACCACACAAGTTAAAGAATCCGAAATTCGCACGTTTTCAAGGGATATTTTATCTTTCAAGTAGTCCTCAAATCCAAGGGATGTGAAGCACACGGCGCATCCCAGAGTGGGCCCAGTTGGTTGCGCGCGCTTCAGCTACGGCTATCTTGATAACGAATCTTAATTCAGGAAGAATCAAGAGGATTCTGAAAGGTTCATGTGAAATTACAGGAGGAGTACACTATTCAACAAGAAACGCAGCCTTCAGCGTCAAATTCACAAGCATGTAACCTTTAAAGTTGAGACCCGCTAAACAATTTTACACTTTTTGCAAGAGAAAAGCACGAGGATTTTGAATCTGCTCCTACTTCAGTATGTAATCGCTCCTGCAAAGGAGAATAGTGCTTAATACTTCGTATAGCATACATTAGATGCGAACAACCTGAATGTGAAAAGGAAAGCAGGAAAAATCCTTGGAAACGCTAAAATTAAGGTCTCACCCTTTAACACAGGGTTGGATATGTACGATGGCGAGAAAAGGCAGTCAAAGAAGACAAAACACGCGAAAGAGCACGTCGTTTGAGAGAGCACGCTGATCTCTACATCAGTGCAAGCTGATCTCACTATCTCTTGCTGTGGGTGGGAAGAGTTGGAACGTGGGTCGATGGTTGCATGA